AGTAAATTTCTCTTGGCAGTACTTCATGTATGCTATCATACATCACTGCTGGAAGAATTAAGCACTGTTCATACAAGTTCACTGGGAGAAAAAAATAAGAAGTTTGTATCTAGTTTCTCTGGGATTCTGCTCTCCATGACTTTCACCTTTGTCGATTTCACCTGTATCCTTATACTATAATAAATTGTAAACTTTAATACAGTAGCTGTTCTGAGTTCTTAGAAACCTCTGAACACAGGTTCACGAATACATTTTATACTTTTATAATTATAATATTGATGTACCCCTTGATCAAATAGATTTTCCAAAAATATATTTTTTTTTTAACTTACAAATGGGGGATTTTTTTCATACTGTCTATAATTTTTAGTTTTATTAAATTATCTTACTTTAACTTTGCAAATTTAATAAAGGTTTTTTTTACTCAGGATATATTTATGTTTAGTTATTCCAGCGACACTTCAGAGAAGGTTTATACTATATTTTCAGAGTATAGAGCTTGAAAATCACACATAAATTTAGCTTCATGTGATAAAATATGGTACTAATAGCTTCTACAGACGTGGTCAACAAGTTTTTTATGTAAAGGGCTTGATGGTAAATATTTTAGTCATTGCAGGCCATAAGATCTCAGTTACAACTACTTAAGCTATTTTGTTGCACCACAATAGCAACCATAACCAATATGTAAACAAATGACTACATTCCAGAAACTATATTTACAAAAACAAGTAGCTAGTTGGATTTAGCGCTAGGAACATAATTTACCAACTCATGATCTAGAATCTCAGTTGTTGTCCACCATATCTAGTAATGAAATCAGAGCAGTATACATAGGTCTATTATATCTTATGTGTTACTATTTCTCCTCATGTCTCTTGCAGATTTTGTTTTATGAATCTTGATGATAATTTAATTGGCACATAGGTATTTGCAGCCATTGCATCTCCTTTTTAAACTGCCTTCTTCAGCTTTATTAAAATGTCCTTTTTATTACAGTATAAATCTTAATGTGAATCCAAACCCTATCTAATATTTATATAAATTAAATCTGAATTATTTTATGTATATTGTCTTAATAGTGTTTCATATTTTAAACTTTCTAAATTATTTTTAAGTATGTCTCTTTGATAGAATCTCATACCATTTCCTCTTAATAAGTGACTTTAACCCATTGACATTGATATGACAGTTACATCTGTCTTACCTTATGCTATGCTGTTTATGTACGTTAATGTTTAGAGTTTTTTTAATAAAATCTTTTCAGTAATAAATGTTTTTTATTATTATCTGTGTCTTCCTTCTAATAATGAGAAAGGTTGTATTTTTGCATTTATAGTAGTTACATTTATTACAAATCTTACATAATTCTTAATTATTTATTAAACTGTACCTAACGATACAGTAGCTACTACATCTCCTCTCTCTCTTTTCTCATGATTTAACCTTCTATTTTAGTAGCTATTATCTTCTTTTATATTTAACTTTATATTCATTAAATATAAAATGATTACTCGATTTGTCAGGTATAAATGATATACTCTGTTACCTAGTTTAAAAGATGAAAAAATAAAAACCATTACATTGTATCCCTTATCTTACACCCTCCATACCCACATTTTATTAGATCTACTCAATTCTAAACTTTCAAAGGTGTCTATCTTTAACTAATCCCATTTTAAATTTAGTTTTCCAGGGATACTTTCTACCAGCATTCTAAAACTCACCTGAAAAACTCCTGTTTAGAAATTCATCCTCTACTAACCATGGGTCTTCTCCTTGCTCCAACTTGAAGATCACTTCTGGTTTTATAGAGCAATATCCTGTAAATGGGAAATAATTTAGGACACGGGTTTACTATATGGGCTTTGATGATTCTGAATGTGAAGGAAGATGCAGCTTCAAGAGTGGCACAGTAATAAGACTCACTTGACCCTCTTTTGGGGGAGCCGAAAACAAAAATATTTCAGATGCTCCAAAGAAATCTCCTTAAATCCCTAAATCACAGCCTAAATAATATTAAATTCTAATAAAAGTCCACGTTTATTATCTATGGTGAGAGAGCGAGCTATGGAGATCTACAAAAGGATCCCCCTTCAATCTTTGATTGAGTACTAATTTGTGGATACATGTGAGGAAACTACTTACGGGTGGGGAATTACCAGAAAAAAAAGTAGAATGAAAAATCACCAAAGCACACACAGAAGTGGAGAGTTTGTGTTTCCAGAGTAGAGAGGAACGGGATTCTCAGTAAGATTCCTCATCAGAAACCATAAAGGCCAGAAGGCAGTGGAGTGATACATTCAAACTACTCAAAGAAAAAACTATCAACCAAGAATCCTATATCCAGGAAAATTATCTTTCAAAGATGAAGGCAAAATAAAAATATTTCCAAATGAACAAAAATTGAGAGCTTTTGTTGCTAGCAGACCCACCTTACAAGATACATTAAAGAAAGGTCTCTTGACTCATTTAAAAATTAACTGTATAAAACAATGAGTACATATGTGTAATGTTAGCTTTCTAACACACACAGATGTATGTTTATATTTCCCAATAAAATCATAAAAAGGATAGGTGGAAGCCAAACTATGCTGGACTAAGAAAATAATGCCAAATGGTAACTCAAATCCACTGTAACAAATGAAGAAAATCACAAATGGCAAATAAAAAGTTCAATATAATCAACGTTATAAACACATACATGTTCTTCTTTCTTTAAAAGATATAAAATTGTATAAAATAAAAATCATTGCAATGTACTGCTAGGTTTGTAACATATATAGATGTAATATGTATAACAATAATATCACAAGGGAGGTAGGGGAATAAAGCTACATAGGAGTAACTTTTCTATACGTCTCTAAAATTAGGTTAATATAAATTTGATGTAGATTCTGGTAAGTGTAGGTACACATGATAAACCATAGAACAACAGCTAAGAAAATAAACTTTAAAAAATATTGTGAAGAAATCATTAAAAGAGCTAAAATGTTACATTAAAAAATATTCACACTACAAAACAGTAGAAGAGAAATAGATGAGAAAAATACATGGCACAGGTAGAAAACAAAATGTAAAATGGCAAATACCCAACTATATCGTAATAAAATTAAACGTAAAAGAACTAAGTAATCCAGACAAAAGGCAGAGATTGTCAGGTTAGATTAAAAAAAAAAAAATCCAACTATATGATAAGGATATACACATTAGATTTAGATACAAACATGTTGAAAACAAGTGGCTGGAAAAAGATATTTCATAAAAACAGCAACCAAATGAAAGCTACTCTAATATTAAACAAAATAGACTTTAAATTTTAAAAAGTGTTATTAGAGATAAAGAGATTTTACAATGACAAAAGGGTAAACCCATCAAGAACATATAATAACAATTATAAACTTACATGCACCCAACAATTGAGCACCAAAATACATAGACATAAAACTGAACAAGTGAAAGGAAAAATATACAATCAAACAATAAAGCTGGAGACTTCATTATCACACTTTCAGTAATGAATAGAATAATTAGAAGATAATACAGAAATAAAAGATTTGAACAACACTATAAGCCAACTAAATCTAATAGACATATACACCACACTCTACCCAACAGGAGCACAATCCACATTCTTCTAAAATGTACATGAAAGTCTCAAGGATATGCCATTTATTAGGCCATAAAACAAACTTCAATAAATTAAAAAGTATAGAAATAATGCAGAATATCTTCTTTGACCCCAATAGAATGAAATAAAAAATCAGTAAAAGAAAGAAATTTGGGAAATTCACAAATATGTAAAAATTGAACAGCATTTTCCTAAATAACTAATGGATCAAAGAGGAAATTACAAAGGAAATTGAAAAAACTTTTTGATGACTGAAAGTGAAAGCACAACATACCAAAACTAATAGGATGAAGAAAAAACAGTGATTAGAGGGGGAAATGTAAAGCTATAAACGACTATACAGTTAACCCTTGAACAATGAAGATATTTGGAGGCTGACCCTCATGCAGTCAAAAATCCACATATAACTTTTGACTCCAAAACTCAGTCATTACTCGGTATCCACAGGGGGTTGCTTCCAGGACCATCCCCCCACACAGAAACTAAAATCCACCAATGCTCAAGTCCCTTATAAAAAATGACATAACACAATGCATATAGTCGACCCACCACATCCATGGATTCCCAACCACAGACTGAAAATACTGTTTTCGATTTATGGTTGGTTGAATTTGCAGATGCGAAACCCAGGAATATGCAGGGCTGAACGTGTATTTATTGAAACAAAATCTGTGTATATGTGGACCCGTGCAGTTCAAGGGTCAACTGCATTAAGACAGAAGATCTCAAATCAACAACCTAACCTTTCATCTCCATACAAAGGAAAAACAAGAGCAAACTAAACCTTTAGCAAGCACAAGGAAAGAAATGATAAAGACTAGATTAAAAATTAGTTGAATAGAAAAATAAAATTATGTGTAACCAAAGTTGGTTCTTAGAAAAGATCAGCAAAATTGACAAATCTTTAGCTAGATTAACCAGGAAAAAGACTCAAATTATTAAAATCAGAAATGAAAGAGGTGACATTACTACTGACTATACAGAAATAAAAAATAATTATGAAGGAATATTATGAACTGTATGCAAATAATTATATAACTTAGATAAAAGGGACAAATTCTTGGAAAGACACAAACTACAGAAACTAACTCAAGAAGAAAAAGAAAAGCAAACAGAGTTATGACAAGAGATTGAATCAGTAATCAAAACACTACCCATAAAGAAAAGTCCATGCCCATATGGCTTTACTGCTGAATTTTACCACATTTAAAGAAACACTAACACCAATTAGTGTATTGGTATTAAACTCTTCCAAAAAACAGAAAATAGAATACTTCCTATATAACTGAATGAGGTCACCATTACCAAACACTAATACTAATTAGTGTATTGGTATTAAACTCTTCCAAAAAACAGAAAATAGAATACTTCCTATATAACTGAATGAGGTCACCATTACCCTGATACCAGAACCAGATAAAGACATCACAAGAAAACTATAGACCAATATCTCTTATGAATACAAATGGAAGAATCCCCATCAAAACACTAACAAACTGAATCTGATGACATCTTAAATGTATTATATACCATGCCAAGTGGGATTTATCCCTAGAATGCAAGGTTGGTGTAATATCCAAAAATCCATCAATGTAATCACCATATCAATAGAACTAAAAAACAACACATGATAGACACAGAAAAAGCACTATGACAAAACTTAAAACTCTTTCATGATAAAAATATTCAACAAAATAGGAAAAGAATGAAACTTCCTCAATCTGATAAAAGGCATTTAAGAGAACACCACAGCTAACATCATACTTAATGATCAGAGACTAGAGCTTTCCCTCTAAGATTAGAAAACAAAGATGCTCACTCTCACCACTTCTATTCACTACTGTAATATAGGTTCTAGCTGAGTCAATTAGGCAAGAAAAAGAAAAGTTATTCAGATTAGAAAGAAATAAAACAATATTTGCAAATGAAAATATGTAGCAAGAATTCTAAGGAAAGCTGTCAGTAGCTGAACATCAAAAATGGAGTCAGACTCTATTACAATTCACCTCTGATATTGGATGACTGAAATGTGTCATGGTTCACTTAACTGGATTTGAACTCATAAGCTAATATTGCACTCTATGAGGACTGCAGCCTGAGGTTGTAAAGGAAGTAAAAGTTGTTTGTTCAAGACCCCTGTACTGTGTATTTTGAGAAGTAAAATAAGTACTTTGGTCATTATTGAAGATGTCTAGCACTTCAAAGGTGATCAGAAATGTCTCAATGATGCCTTGTATTATAGTTTTAATATGTTCAGACTCATGTGTACCCTCGATTTATATTTGGGGGTATTTATGAGGCAAGGTGTCCAGAGTTCTTTCCTCAAAAAGGGGCTACCCTGGACAAGGAACTACAGTTGTCACTGGTTGAACCAGAGAGCCAGGTCATTGGCAAGGGCCCAAATGTCTGTAAAACTGCCCAAATATTGTCCAGTGCATCCTTCAGTGCCAAGATGAATGCAAGAAGTTTGGCCAATTGTACTGACTTGGGTCCCATCTTTTATTACAGATATCTTAGTTAAAGGATGAAAAATAGCAGTTCTCCAGAGAATTGCATTATGTGTCACAGTGACACTGTACTCTGTAAAATGTGTGAACTCCTTTTGCTGTTCATTCAGTTGAGCCTAAGAGGTTCCCTAGATAGTCAAGGAATCAGGAATAAGGATGATCTCCTCCAGCACTGTGGCATCTAACAAGGGACTTAAGACAGGGAAGGCCACCTCTTTTTGCATGTTTGTATCTATCTTGTAAATACCACTTCCATTTCAGCAATGAGGTCTCAATGGTCTGGCCAACGTTGAAGGATACTGCTTCTATAACCCAAGGCACCATGAACAGCTGGGTGCTGAGAGTCAAAGAATCAGAACCCATGAGAGTATCTATGTCCAGGAAAGGCAAGTATGCAGTCCACAAATGCTGCTCTAATGGCATGCAACACATGTAACATAGGGCAGTATCTTGCATCAGAAGATCATGTGCATTTCATGGTAAGCATAGGTGGTCCATAAAGTCCAAGATGCATGAGAGGAGGTTGCTAAATCCTCTGTAGCAAAAGTGTCTCTCAGAGACAGGAGTGTCTATTACATTACAATTTAGACAGATTCTAGAGCATTTTGTTATAAGAAGCCCTATTCAAAGTGGGATGATTTGGGACTAATATTATAAAGGAGCTTAAGTAAAATTTGTTAAAAGG